AATGCATCCGGTAGCAAGGTCCATGAGCTTTCTACTTGTAGGTTAGAGATTTCTCATGTGGAGAAAGCTCTTCCTATGCAAATTTGGTTTACCCTCAGAAGCAAAATGTCCCCTGGCATCCCACTGATCTGAAAGACAACATTTGGTTTGGACTAGGTGACCCTCAGGGTCCCTTCCAACTCTACAGTTCATTGATTCTATAAAGCATTTGATGGCTTTGTTCAGCATTAGCCTAGAAACAACTGCTCAAATTATCACAGGCCCTGAAGATGCTGTCAGATGTTTACTTCTAAAGGACGGATGGGCAAACTGTGGCCTTCCACAGTTGAACTACAACTTCCATTAATCCTTGGCAGCATTGCCAATAGTCAAGGAAGTGAGAGTTGTGGCTCAGCATTATCCTCCTCTTAAGGCATATTTCTCGGTCATTATCAATTTAGAAACAATCCCTGAAACCTTGTTTCTGTAATTAATACCAGGGGTAACTGTGGAATCATTCAGTTATATCTCTTTGAACTTACTGGATCGTGGTTTCCCATGCATTAAGTGTTGGTGATTTTACTGTGAATCTTGCAGAATTTGTAGAAACGATGTGTTCCTGTACTTCACAGTAGAATTCCCAAAAGCTTGTAATCTCTTGATCATTCGGATGGGAAAACTCCAGCCTGTGGGCAGATGCAGTCCTTGAAGATTACACCTTGAGATCTGGCAGTAATCTTCCACGGGAAAGAGAGTGGGAACACAACATGCTTTACAAAGCTGAAAACTCAGCCCATATATCAAGTGCTGTTTGTTGCCTTGAGCCCCATGATTTCATCCAATGTTGAATGTGGAATGATGGCAGCCTATAACTATTAAAAAGGGGTGGGGAATAGATACCTTATATGTATGTATACATCATTAAAATTACGGGGGAATATGCACAAACCCATAAATCTCGCCTCAGACAGGTCCCTATTCTTCTGGCTCCATTTTGTTGAAAAGTAATTAACTTTACATCACGGCAGTAGAAAATAGTAGCTTTTCAGCTACAATGAAATGTTTAAATCAGAAAGATTTATGAGGCCCTGGGAATTAGTGGCACATTATGGCGCTGAACTGAAAGGGTGACCTGCCCTGTAGGAATATAGAGAAGTAATAATGTTCTGGTCTCATCTGTCAAAGAAGTGTAGCAGACATTTCTTTTATATATATATATATTCTTTATTTAAATTTTCAGAATAGAACAACATATGAATAGCAAAAGATATGCAGTGTGTGATGCTGTTGGCAATACGATACAGCCCTGTTGATGTCATATTACATTTCTGCCTTGTTTTGTGAGTTGCCTGTTACCGTTCCAGATTGGAGAACACAGGAAAAACAGTCCTTGGAAATCTCTACACAGTTCAGATTCCATGGCTTTCCTGTTATTGTTTGACTTATTTATATATACTATGGATACCTACTTGTTGTTAATGTGTCTGCATGGCCTCCCCTGCCCCCCGCCTTCAGTATCCAAAAATTTAGAGCAGGTTTCTCCAATAAGGGCATTTGCCACAATTTAGCATATCACTGAACTAGTTTTGCTCCTGTTAAATCCTGCCAAAAGTGACCCACTTGCAGCCACCAACATATGTCCTCTCAAGATTTTCTGTAGAAAGATCAACAGTGCCTTCTGCAGTGCTTTAACAATCTTTTTGCCATACCCGTGTTAAGGTAGCCGACAAGGATCAATTTTTATGTCTATAGATATTTTGTAGGTCAACAGATCCGAAATGTAAATCTTCCAGTTTATCTTGAGGCTACCAAATATTGAGCTTCTAGTAGCGCTCGTCAGCCTGTTGTCATCTTCTGATGGCAGGCTTTGTCCAATATTGTTCCTTTTGATCATGATGAAGTTATGAAATGAGCTAGCTGACCAGCCTATCTTAGTAAAGTACAGCAGTATCATGCGCACGGCTATTTAATGACTGCACTGTTACACCTTTCCTGCTGTATTTTATTAACTTGAAGGTGCTGCACATTCTAGTTTGTAAGGTTATGATTCTCAGATTTGTTTTGTTACACTGCATTTGATACTGGTTTTGTAATATAATTATAAACAGATTAGATTTTTCATCTCTCTATTGGTTTTCAGTGCTTTTATTGCTTTTTCTTTACTCCCACTGTGTCACTATTTGAGACAAGCAACACAATTCCCTCCTCTAGTGTTCCTATGCAGTTTTGTACGCCATCTTGAAAGGGTATGTACATGTATGTAATACTTAGGGAGAGGATGAGTGTCTCCAAAAGCCCCCAGGGGTCCCATATACAATCAGTACGAATCATCCCAAATAGATGGCACGGCACAACATTGAGAATTGTATCCAGTTAATCAGAGTAGGCCTACTGAAATCAATGAACCAAAGTGAAACATGCCCAGTAATTCCAATGGGTCTACTCTGAGTAGGATTATCTTTGGATATAACAATTATTTTACTATTACGTATTTAGTTCCAAAATGTTAGAGATTTTGTTTAATCCCTAACAAAATACCACCCATGATCCTTTCCTATCTGTCAAGAGTGTGTGCCTTTCTTGAGGAAGGCAATTTTTATATTCCTTTTTAAAAAGAAAAATCTTTGGCCTGTTTCACTTGTGCACTCAGCAATTAAGACATTTTCTTTTTGTGGTTATTTGACCATGTATTCCATAGTTGATTACCTTCTGATTAAAAAGCTTAAATTTGGCCTTTGCTACATCTGAACAGTTTCAAAGATATGATGATTATGGATTTCAGTGGCAGAGAAAATTACTTTATCATAATGTCTGGAGCTTGAAACTGAGGAAATGTAATTACTTGTGGGAGCTTTAGGGATAACACAGCTTGAACTACCTACAAAACTGCTCACATGCTGTCCTCTGGAGAGAGAAGTTCAGGGAATTGTATATTCTCACAACTCCAGATGGCATAATTTTCCTCTTAAATTGCAGTTTTGTGGATTTGAGGTTTGCTTATGGCTTACATAACATGGGTGATAATAGCATAAAAGCACTCTTTTCTGGTTGTGTTCACACACACACACACACACACACACACACACACAAATAATGATTGACCATAAGCAACTTGGAGGACCCAGGAGTCACAGTCTTCAGTTCTCCATGTCATCTGTTGGGGGAGCCAGAGAACCTCCCAATGCCATGTAATGGCTTAGAGAAATAGGGCAGATCCACACCATACATTTAAAGCTCATGGCTCCCCTCAAAAAATCCTGGGAACTGTAGTTTGCGAAGGATCTTGGAAATTGTAGCTCTGTGAGGGGAAACGTGCTTCAAATGTGCACAGAATGTGCTTTAATGTATGGTGCCTATACAGTGGGACAAGTCATACAATGTAGCATGACAATTCCTTACCCCCTTACCTTTCTCTAACTTGGATTTGTCCTTTATTAGAAGACTACTATATATTAGAGACCTGTTTTGTACTGGTTTGTTCTTTGACTTGGATAGGCATACTCTTCCCCACACGCTTCCAATTCTTGTTTGAGCATGTTGAATAATGGAATACTTGGATTAGGTCTAGCTACAGAAAATGTTAAACTGAAAACCATTTCCAGATTGCTTGATTCCAAGCAATATTCAAGGTAGCACTTTATCTGGAACATAATGAAGGACAATTATATTCATACTTGATGACTGATTGGAGGTTTGCAATAGTAATGCCTTTTCAGCTGGAGAACAGAGAGCCTATCTGTTGAAGGATTTCTTCTCATAAAGAGTTGCATTTTTGAGAGCTTGTATAATATCACCCTCCTAATTGAGTATCATAAACCTGTATGAAGGTTACTCTTTATTATCAAGTTCCAAAAGCTTTCATAATCTTGTGCCCCTCTAGCATTTTGCTTACAAGGTCCTCCTAGGCAGAAAGTTAAATGTGGGATGGACTCTCTTGTATAACGAAGGTTCTGAACCACAACTTCTTACACTTAATTTATACAGTACATAGAACTGAAATACCTTCTCACTGTGTCTGCAGTTTTGTATAATGTCACTTTTAAATTCATAATCCATGCTTTGAATATTTGAGACCAATGCTATGCAGTGCTATACTAAACACAGCCGTTGTGATTAATGTATACACTAAAACTAAAACAAATCTCTCTATTCTGTACCAAAAAAATGTCAAGTTATTTGTATTTTATTTGTTGGAAGCTGTCTTGTAAAGGTTTAACCTTAAAGGCATCCTCAGAATATGTTAAATAAACAAATAATGCCTTCAAGGTGTCACAAATATAATTCTTGTTATATGTGCCCCAATGTCCCATATCCCCAAACAATGAGCAATCCTGGGTTAGCACTATGGGATTGGGTTTTCTTTGAATGGGAGAGTGATGCATTGAAACATATGGGATCTTTGGAGGGGAGACAAAGGGTTAACACCCCCCCTGCCAGGGTTGCAATTCAGATCAGCTATTTGCGAGGTGTGGGTGTGTGGATCTGCACATAAGGATGGAGATACATGATTAGCCTATCCAAAGCTAAGACTCCAGCTAAACGCATCACTCTCCACCTGCCTACCACCAAGTTCAAATTTTAAAAATTGGCTTTTATCCTGTTGTCATCTGCAGATAACTAGATGGTGTCGCAATATCTTCAGTCCCCCTCCCCTATATTTATTCAGATTGCAATGACAGAAGAAATTTCCAACCACCAAGGCACATTTCTGTTCTTTTGCTAAAGTCTTTGGAATGGCTAGCTCTACCACAAGGCAGTTGCTTCAGGTGCCTAATGCTAAAGGCAAGGGGTGGACAGAGCTGTGTGTGCTATGTGGCCTGCCCGGTGCCCCCTAAGCTGAGTTCTTGGCCTCAGAAGCATTGGGGCAGGCTGCTCTACTGCCAGTGGCAAAGTAAGAGTCCTCTGCCCACCTGGTTGCTTTTAGATAACAGGTAGGTAACCGTGTTGGTCTGCCATAGTAAATAAATAAATAAATAAAAAATCTTCCAGTAGCACCTTAGAGACCAACTAAGTTTGTTACTGGTATGAGCTTTCGTGTGCATGCACACTTCTTCAGATACAGTGAAGAAGTGTGCATGCACACAAAAGCTCATACTAATATGAGGAAGGAGCATGCCTGTGAATATTTGTTGATGGAAATCCCAACTAGGCAGAGGGATGTTGCATTCAGATCTGGTTTGTGGGCTTCCAATGGACACTGGCTTGGTCGCTGTGAGAACAGGGGACTGGATTGGATGGGCCTTTGTCCTGATCAAGCAGAGTTCTTCCTACATTCTCACAAAATTCTCTGGGTGATTTACATTATGGTGCCCATTCTGTAGAAATCTACTAATGTGTAAGCAACTCGAGTTTTAGCCTAGTACATCAATGAGAGCAAAGTGTGGGTCTCAACTGAATACCCAAAGCATGGATTCTCAGCTGACCTGAAACATGAGAGATTTTAAAAATAGGAAGAGGTGTTTCACAAAATATATTTCACCCTCTCCATGTTGTGTAAAATAAATTTATTCTGGAAAACTTTTCCAGAGTGCCTGTTCAGGGCACCTGCATGTGCTCTTCCCTTTATGCCAATGTCATGGAACTCATATTTATGATACATTTCCTTAATAAATAAAGCAAAACAGGTGCTACAAACCAGTACTTTGATAGTGTGGTTTTATTACTGTTCCGATAAAACCAAGAATGTTAGCAAGAAGATGAGCTCCTTTATCTTTATGGAACCGTGAAAGTGATATCGACTGATTTCAAACTGCTGGGAAGAATATATTACCTTGCTCCTCAAAGCAGCTAACTTTTTTATTTCACCAAAGAGACAGCATATGAAAAAATTCCTAAGAAATCTCCAGTCATTTAAAAAAACAACCTAACTTGTATATATTGAACTATTACCATGTCATGTCTGTAAATCATGAGGATGTTATAGAAAGTGTGCATTATATTAGCTCATATGTTATCAAATTGCTCCCTCCTTTGCTAGCATTTAGGATTATGGGGCCCCTTGCCATCATACTTCAGCAGTGTGGGAGCCCCTTCCCTGGGGTGATTGAATGCCATTGCAATAAGCATCTCTGCATGGGTAGAGCAAATCACACCAGTCCTTCCTTGAAGCTTCATACTCGCCTCTTTTTATATAACAACATGTGGAAATGTAAAGTGTCCTTTGGCAGAGATAAACTTGCAAAGGCTTGCAGGTGGAATTCCTTCCTATTACAGCCTACCAAAGGATTCAGAATTTGCCACTCTAGATGTTACCAACATTTACCGGTATAACCTGTGTATTCAGGTTTTGCTGTAGGTAAGGTCCAGAATGAGATTATGAATTAATCATGGGAATTTATTCATTTAGACTGGCTTCCCAAAAATCTCAAAGAGGTTTAGAACACATTAAAACATCAAATAAAATAATCTAGAATAAAACACGGCTGTGTTTTAATTTGTGTAAGCTACCTTGAGTCCCAGTCTGGGAAAAAGGCAGTAAGTAAGTAAGTAAGTAAGTAAGTAAGTAAAATTTAACACATTTATTTATCATTTGGCAGAATGTAGGCCAAGTAGCAGGATCACAACAGCATTTAAAATATTCACGGTTGTTTTCCAAGCATACTTTCATGGAACCAAGTTCTGTTGAACTGCATGGGACTTCCTTCTGATTGCAAATATTCCATAAACATTGCACTCAAAGAGGTTAACAACAAAGGCATGATCAAACAAGACCACATCACTGTCCGTGGCACAGTTCAAAGCAGTTTCATAATAAAAATGCATAGTCAAATTATATCAATGTATTAAGAAGTCAGAATTCAAAATGAAGCAGGGCAGTGGTAGGGCAACAGCAGCGTGAAAGCTTTTAAAGAACTGCAGAGAAAGGTGGGACCAGTGTTCAGCCTTAGGCCTTTGCAGGAACAAGATATTCCATCCCCTCTTGCCTAACTTTTAAGCAGAATGTGGCAAAGCTCTCTGATTATGACGGTTTCTCTACAGAAGGTGACAATGGTCTGAAGTTCATACTCATTTGTTGTGGAGTCTCAAGGGGAGTTCTGAGACAGGGCATACTAATGCAGATTGTCTCTGTAATGCAATAAAGCACAGATTGCTGAAATGGAAGAATCACAAAAGGCCAATCAATGCCTAGCAATCCCCTGGAAACCTCCATCATGAATTCCAAATCTAGAGGGTGCTTCAAAAATATTGCTGTCTTTAATGGAAACCATAAAAGCTACTTACAGATGATACTGTATGAGAGACATGCTTTCAAAGATCTTCATATATCAGCCATCTATTTTCACTTCTTTGATGCTTAAAGCACAGTTGTACAGCTGTTGCTTACTTAAAGAACAGTACAGATAGGAACAATGGAAGATTTTTCTATACATGCAATTTCTTTGTAAAGAATTCATTCCCTTTCCAGGTGCACAGACAATAGATGTGGCCAATGAATCATATGAAAAAAAGCAGTGTGCAGGGAACTGATCCTGAACATTGTGCAATGAAAGTAAAAAAAAAAAAACTGAGATGGAAAAATTCAGAGCATTCCTGTGTTCTTGCTTTTTGACATTGCCTTTTGAAGAGCATCATGTAGAAGGGCAGGGAATATTAGCAATCAGAACACTGCAAGGGCCTTTTCTAAAGGGTAGTCTCTAGGTCCAAGTTTCAAAGGCACTGGAGACCAATTCTGAGGGTAATAATATTTTTAAAATTTATACCCCACCCCTCCTGGTTTAAAAACCTGGCTCAGGACGGCTAACAGCAAATATAAAACATTGATTAAAATGTGACTTAAAAACAGCATAAAACAGCATAGAATACAACATAAAATGCAGCATCAATATCAATAAAATTCAAAAATTCAGGGGTCATTTTTGGAAGGGAAAAAAAAGACCCAGTCAGTAGACATCGAACCATCACCAGGACTAACTGGCCAAGTTGGTCCTACTAGGGCCAGCAAGGAGACCAGGAAGAATTTAAATGTGGGGTCCCAGAAAGGGTTTCTTCATAGAAGAGGGAAGGGGAAAGGGAATATAGGATCAGGCTAATTCAAATTGAAGGCCAGGAGGAACAGAGTCTGGGGAAAATATGCCAGGCTAATGCTTGTGGATATCAAAAGGACTTCTCATAAGACTGCAAACTTTAGTTGGCTTGGAATAAAACATGCTTTGCATGTATGAAGTCCTGGGTTCAGTCCCTGATAATTTAACCCTTAATAGATCTTGATAAGAAAGCTTAGAGAGGCCTTCCCACATGAGACTTCAGAAATATGCTGTCACCTCTGGCTAGTAATGGACAATGGATCTTGCCATGGGCTTAGGTGAAGGGATGGATGAAGGCCACAATTAGCATCTGGATGCTGAAGCAAGACTTTAAAGCAGGGATGGAGAGATGCTGACCATCCCATGTGTTCTTTGAGGACTACTTCTCTCATCATCCCTGACCATTTGCTAATCTAATGGGAGTAAGAGACCAACACACTTCAGGAAGACCATGGGTTCTTCATCCCTGTTTGAAGGTCCTGGTTCTAGCAGGGAAAAGTGACCATGTGAGCTCCACTTCAAACTGCAAAATGCCTTTGGCTAGCATAGACTCTTTGCCAGAAGGATTCCCTCTTAAGGAATTGCCCCAAGACAAATTAGATTTCTCCTGTGCCCCCATAATTGTTTTATTTGTAACGTAGGCTGCAGATCAATGTAACGGTTAAGGGGAGGAGAGGAGAAAAGGCAATAATGTTCTGTACAAAAGCAACTTCTTAGTTCCTGGTGTCCTTAAGGAAGAAAGAGAAAAGAAATTGAAAGTACAGCATTATTATAATAAATGATCAACGAGAAGAATATGAAAAGGCTGGTGAAAAGAAGCTCTCAATTCCAAAAGGCACATGGATTCCCTTTGCAATTGGAAAACACATCAGTTAAATATTGAACAAAATATAATAAAGGATAGAAGCCTTCCGAATAGTAATAATAATGGGTACTAAATTGCAAATGTGTTTGTACTTCGTTTTTCATGTCAAATAACCTTTTTCATATATGCAAGAATGGAAGATATTCAAACATCATATTTGCTTTTCTTTCCTCCTGCCCTCCCACCCTGCAAAAAAAAAAAAAAATCTTGTTGGCATAATTGACAATGAAGTCAGAACAGATGTTATTTCTAGTGTGTAGCTTAACCAAAATAAATGATGTCATGTATCCTGTTGAAAGGTAAGTGGTTTGCTCCTTTTTAGGCTCCTGAAGTGCCTACATCCTGCAAATAGAGGTATCTCCCCCTCTCTCTGTTGGGATTTTTCTAGCGTTGCTGCAGAATAGACTAATCTTGGATCTGCTCTATTGCGATCCCTTAGGACCACCTGTCAACTGAAAAAGTGAGCTGGGGGAGGGGGACATGACATATGCATTTTCCCAAAGTGACCTGTACTTAGTGGACAAATACTTGCTATGCCACTGAGCAACTGCTATGAGAAGTGAATTCAAAACTGAGAGGGCTCTGATTGTTCTTTTCCCTTCATCCTATTAAAAGGTGGCTTAATTTTTGAAGCTTTGGTCCCTTGAGTTTTCACTGTCAAACTGAAGTGATGTTTACTCTGAGCACAATGTCCCACTCCTTACCCCATAAAAAAAAGAAAAAAATTACCAACATGGGAATCAGGGGCCCACACCTGCAATTTGCATTGTGGGGGGCGGGGGAGAGCTCCCATTCACTTCACTTGCAAATTGCAGGCATGGGTGGCCCAATCTGAATTGGGACCTATGGTATTCCCCCTATGCTAAGGTCCTGATCTAGGCTAGCCCTATTCACTATTTTTTAGGGGGAAGAAATTATTTTTTATTATTAACTTTTTATTATTATTACTATTATTACTACTATTATTATAAATTTTATTTATGATTTTCAGGTTTAGACATTTCACCAATTTTACATTAATCTTAACATTTCAAAGCTTGACTTCCACCCCCTCTTTCTGCAGTTCCTTAACTTTATTTTTCATATCTTCTGCATATCCAAATTAACTTAATTTGCTCATTTATCCATCTACTTTAAATATATACTCTTATAAAGCTGCAGGTTATTACAATAATCCTGCCAATGTTCTTATTTGTTTACAATTTAT